CTATACACAAATTTGTGGAACAATCGGGGATGGACGAGGTGTACAATAAATAGGTAACATGGGTGGATTGGCCAAAACTGAAATTGGGAGGACCCATCTATGTCAGATTATAACCCATCGGTGCAACATATATGGGCGCTATGTATATCATTGTGTTCCTGTGGGTGCCCTTGTAACAGCAGACCATGTTCTGTTAAGAGAAACCCCACTTTGAGCCAGGGAGTTGAATGAGAGTAATGGGTCGTCAAACGAGACACTGTTATCAGCTCTCGTCGGGTCACATCACATCTGGCACGACGTCGCTGATTGGACCATCTAGTCTTATCTACTACAAATTCTTACCAAATCAGGAAGGTGGCAGCTTGATGTGACCCCGTCTCACCGACTACGGGAGGTCTGATAACAAGATTCGACTCGTTCATGGTATAACTCGGACAGTCACAAAGAGAAAAAATTGTCATGTAGCATAGGTATATATCTACCACTGCAGTGTTTGAATGTTGAATTAGAACCATAGTATGCGTCCTGTGTGAGGAGATTTCACATCAAAATCATTTCGGTGTCTCATTGACCGCGTAAAGACTGTAGTGCTCAGTCATACAGGAATACAGACGAGTGACAAGAGTACGACTAAGTAATGGACAGATGGTGAAGTGCTACGCTACGTCTCACACTATACGACGCGTCGACATCGTCCGACGATATATCAAGTAAGTATAACCGTAACGAGACCGACGGCGCAGCGGCCATTTCCAGTCATGTGATCTTGAGGATATGTGATTTCTGAACGTCCCGACCAATTCAAGTTGATGGCAGTGGTGGATTGGCTGCGATTTCCTCCTCCCAGATGGGGAATGGGGAACCTTCCTAAGAGAGGACTGTTACGCCTTGAGCTTAGATGAATCACTGCAGACAATTGGTTGCAACGTATGATACGTCCGAACCATTCGATACGAGCAAGTAAAATCACTGGCAGCAGCAGAGACTCAAGACTATGGTACTAAATACAAATTGGGTCAGAGCATAAGCAACACGACACGACGAAAATAACCCATAGCAGCTAAAGAGTTAAAAGGAAAAGGATACCAGCCAAGGGGAGGACCGACTTCATGCTTATTCGTAAGAGTTGCTACCGCCTTTGTCCAACCTTCGTCATCCACCATCCACCTCCCAGATCACCATAGCACAGTCTAGGCAAGACTCGCTCCGTAAACGTTCAATAAACATTCGACATGGATCCCTTCTCTTCACGTTGATTTTGACCCTTTCTCACTTCTGGTCACTTAGCTTTTCTGATCTATGGACATCTTGGCCATCGCCTGTGATAGCGGTTGGGATTCCTGCTTCTCTGCACTAGCCGCCGCCGCCGACTTGGGAGGGGCAGGAGAAGAAGGGGCGGAACCGCCTTCGTCGTAATGCATAACGCTGTGCTCCTAATAGTCATACAGGTCAGCACATGATACCAGCGTGAGTGAGAGGTTAAGTGCTATACGTACTTCGTCGATAACTTCTTTCTCGGACTCTTCTTTGTATTGTTGTAGGTGAGGAGCGAGAGCTTGAGCAGCGGGAGAGAGGTATTGAGATTTGTTGGGTCCCATGGACATACGCTTGACAGCAGTAATAGAGAATACAGCTTTGCGCCCTGTACAGACCCAACCCAAACCCCGTCAGTGAATGTCCAACATAGAAGGCGATGAGAAAGGCAATCCAACACGCGTAGGCTATAAATAGCCGACAACGAAGGGAAGGGAAGAATGATATATAGATAGAGTGACGTACATGTCTTCTTGGCGTCGAATTGTTTCTGGATGAACGGTAACAAGTCCATCGGGGCGCCCTCGCGATCGGCGACGAAATGAGAAGAATCTTCAGCGAGCCATTTGTGTTCGAGGGCTTGAGCGGCCGTCGGACGTTTGTTCGGGTCGATGGTGAGACAGTACCGAACAAAGTCGCGGGCGGTCTCGGAGACGTTTGCCCAGTATTCCTCTGTTCGGTTGTGATAAGCATCGTTGTGGATCATGATTAGAGATGAATAGTGTTAGGGGTGATAGAGCGGGATTGGGTTTACATACCTGGTTCGAACTTGTAGTCTCCCGCGATGATGGCTTCCATTTCGTCTTGCTGTGACTCGCGGTCAAACGGTGTATAGCCTAAGAATGTAAGTGAAAATATGTTCGGTGGCGAAATGAAGGGAAGACGAGCGTACCGCAGAGTAGGAAATAGGTGATAACGCCCATAGCCCAAACATCAACAGGCTTTCCATGACCAGCTACCGCCCATCATCAGTATTCACATCACCGGCCAAGCCAAGTGAACAATACGTACTCTTCTTGAAGATCTCCGGTGCCATGTACTATGTAAACGTTAGCGGGGTACGGGGAAGTGAGGGAAATAAACTAACACCGGGGGTACCGCAAATCTCGGTCAAGACCTGCAATTTATCTTCGTCCATAACTCGACTGAGACCAAAGTCTGCGATCATGATGTCTGCGTCTTCGTCCTTGGTGCGGAAGAGTAGGTTCTCGGGTTTCAAATCTCTATGGACGATACCGCAATCGTGAATCCACTTGACGGCGCGGAACACTGTGCGGACGAGGGCCGCGGCGTCGCTGCGACAAACGTTATCATTTGAAGTTGGTGATCAACTAGAGAGAGACATACGCTTCGTAGTAATTCCCTTTGGCACATATACGGTCAAAGAGCTCGCCTCCTGTACACAGGTCGAACACTAAGTACAGATTGTGAGAGGTCTAAAGACGGACATGTCACTTGTGTTCGAAAGATGGCTGGCATGACGTCCGTACCTCGAAATAGTCATGGAGAGTGACGATATTCCGGTGTCCCTGAGAGACACGCTTGAGTACCGCAATCTCATTGCGTACCTAGAAAGGGGCTCTACTGGTCAATACAACATAGGTGCAGGCATGTGAATAAGGGTACATGCCATGTACTCTCTGCCCTCCATGAGTTTCTTGTTGATGACCTTGCAGGCATAATACTTGCCCGTCTTGATATGGACGGCTTCCTTTACGATGGCATACGTCCCGCTGCCCAGGGTCTTACCCGTCCGATACTGCGATTCCAAACAAGTCAACTGGCGTTGTGGGGCTCGAAAAGTTGGCAACGGTTACCTGACATGGCACTGTGGCGGGTGCGGGCATGATGTTCTGGTTCGGGGGCTGCGAGTCTGATCCCGACGATTTCTATACAAGGCAAAAGCAGTCAGTCCGAGCTCGTCGTTCCCCTTTACGAGCACCCAGCAAAAGATGAATCGTGTGCTCTGTTCTGGACAGAGCTGGAGGAGTAAGGGGTATAGACGAAAGTATATATAGCCCAATCGGGCTTGTTATCATTTAGCAGCACTCACCATCTCGGCTCTTTCCGTACCCCGGGGCGCTGCTTTCTCTTCTGTGTTTGCTGCACCGCCTGCCTCGTTCCTCCCCGTTCTCGTTGCCTTCGTCGGCGGCGGCGGTGGTGAAGGCGATGCATTCCTCGACGTCGAGGATGTTGCACTCCGAGGACGTCTGTGTTTCGACGCTCTCGCGATGAGCGTATGTATCGACTTGCGCTTGGACGTCTGGGAGGTGTGCGATCTTGCGTCGGCGCCGGCGTCGTCGGTCGACTGGTATCGGCTCGTTTGGGATCCCATGTTGTTGTCTCTGCGTCGAGGTATATAGTAGATGTTCGAATGAAGGAGGTGGTGTTGCGAGCCACAGAAAGGGGTACCAGCGATCGGCGGTTATTTGCAATGGAGGGGATGGTCACTAATCCGGGCTTCCGTTCTTTATACTCTCGAGACTGCCACCGCGGGGACTTAGCGTGCAAGAAGGAATTCGTATACGTGCCGAGCAGAGGTTCTAGTCAGTCAATTTCGCCACATCCGTTCACAAGTCATGCTGTCTCGCCGACAGATCGAGGCGGTGTTGATGTTTCCGTTCACCGCCTCTGGCACTGTGCACGTACCCTCTACCCCTGGAATGCTTATGGAATGCTCTACGTTACCCACAGCGAAGACAGTGCAGTACATCATTTCAGACTGCAGATGGTAAAGCTCATCCCCGCTGACGACAAACAGGTACACTCATCCTGCTGCGTGTATGAACCCTCTTCGCCGATTGCACTGCGGAGACCTGCTTCTCAGCTGCGGTTGCTCAGGATATACTTGGGCGAACAGCGCGTTTGCGTAATGCAGCGCTGCTTGGTCCTACCAACTGCCAGGACGACGCGAGTGCTGGTGGGTCACAGATTCGCGTTGTCGAGAATAGCGAATCCTCAGGGCTATGCACTCGGCTCTCTTGCCAGCAAAGTCAGGAAGGAGATATTCTTGAATCGTTCAGCCAGTGAGTCTACGCCCTAGCGTTCTCAAAGTCTCAGGTACTACACGCACAGAATCTGGCCGTTCACCGTTACCAATTGTTTGCTGTCACATAACGCGACACAGGTATTTCGTCATTCATGTAGGGTTCGTCGTTACTATAACGACTTTCACTCATCGTACAGGCATTCCTAGCCTCATGCGAACACACTGTCCCCCACGGAGTGAGATGGCCGTTTACTGCAAGTGTTCTTGGAGTCAAGTAGGGGGGTGCCGACGTACACAAGCAACATGAACTCCGGTATGTAGTGTCCATATGATGGAACTGATTGCTCTATATAGATACTGTAGAAGGACGGTCTCCACTACTCAGGCCTCAGGAGTAGAAATCACTCAGCGGCAGTGAGCATCTTGCCAACATTGAAACCTCTAGTATAACCCTCCTCCCACAAGTATCATTACTGCCAAAGCTACCATTTTGACGATTAAGTCGATACGGACCTCTCATAGACTCATTTATGGACCTTTCTGGATAGTCAGGCTGTTCCTTCATAGTCAATTGTTATAAAGCCTTCACGATGAATGAGAACATACGGCATCCAATCCTCGATTGAAGTTGTGAAAATCAGTCTAGACACGAAAATAGGTAAACGGGGTATATACCTTTCCAAACAGCATCTTACGTGGCCGGCTAGCTCAGTTGGTTAGAGTGTGGTGCTAATATTACGTCATGTGACATGTTATGCCGAGGTCGTCGGTTCGATCCCGGCGCTGGCCAGCATAGGCAGGGCCCGACTGGGCAAACCTGGACACGATTTTCAGTCGAGAGCAACAAGAGAGAAGTGAGCGCCGTTATCATGCTTGATTTCTCGAACGTCCGGGGTACGGCATTGGTTTGTACTGAGCGATACCGGCCCTCCCTTTGTTTATAAGGACTCAGCGAGGTATGTGGTTGTTACAGTCTTACAGAGTCATGTGCAGGTGTTTGGCACGATTGTCGCTATTGTTCAGGCCTATGACAAATTTTTTCAGGTATTGTGGTACCGGGTGCTATCCAGTACTACTATAGACCAGGCTGTATGGGTCGCTATGAGCCTCTGGGGAGCTTGCACATATGGACGACATCGTGGCTTAGAACCTCATCGATGACGATATCGACTGACCACATACATCTCATGGGGACAGGCCTATGTACGTTGCGTGTCCCTGTGCTTCGTATCTTCATTTTCCATGTTTCCACTCCGCTCGTTCCATCACAAGCACTAGAAGCAAGTCTGCTTCTTGGAATGAGCGCGTCCCTTTCTTTTCCTTTCTTGTTTTCCCCACCCGGTCCTCGGCCCCACCATCTGTCATTCATTGTAAGCGGTAAGGATCTGCTTCGTTCTTCTGCCGTCCACTGTTCCCTTGAATGTGCCACGTTAGACAAACCGACTTCGGGAACCCCTTGTGTTCATCAAATATAAGCAAACGACGAGGTAAGATGGAGCCAACGCCCCTGACATTCACCCCGTCCAAGTCATGTTTGGCTCTTCAGCGACATCGCTTCCTGTGAGCTCCGGGATCACCTCCATAGAACAGCTGCGTATCCTGAGTTCATCTCCTTTCCGCCGCGTGGACCAGAATACCGACCCTACTGAAGTCATTGTCAAGCCTCATATCCCCGAGCAGAAGTTCGAAGGCATGGATGGCACCACTTTAGTGGAAGCCATCAATTGCACAGAAAACTTGCGTCGTAAACTCAGCCTTTGCCTTCACATTAGCCTGTTGCTGCCCGTAACCATTGACAAGATAGACCCCATGACAGGGCGTAATGAGAAGGCTTTCATACGGGTGTTTGGCTCAATCGTCGATATTGCCAAGCATGAGATCGGGTATATCGTCTGGAAGGTTGACGATACCTTTCCTCCGCAGACAAAGAAAATTTACATACGTGCTCCTCGCAGTCTGTGCGACCTCGACATCGTCGATGCCCAGGACTATGAAAGCAAGCAACTCAGAGGTGAATCGTACTTCCCCGACGACGCCCGCCCCCCTTCGTCGGAGCTTCCTTTCTCCCCTTCACACCACACTCGCCCTTCAAGTGACGCGATTTGGCGGAGCGATCCAATAGACTTCTCATCGTCCCCGCCTGCAACCCCCTCGCACGATGCTCGTCATTCCAGTGACGGAATGTGGCGGAGTGACCCGATGGACTTCTCGTCGTCCCCGCCTGCGACCGCCTCGCACGATCCTCGTTATCCGAGTGACCCAATCTGGCGGGGTGACCCAATGGAGCTGTCATCGTTCCCACCTCCTACCCCTTCTCTCACTAATTCACCTTTCTCTTCATCCTCTTCATTGGATGGAGACCGAACCCACGATAATTTTTGGCGGCGTGTAAAGCGGATATTCAGTCTCCCTTTCTTGAGGAGTCGTGTGCAGTCGCAAACTGCGATCTCCTATTCACCTCCAGTCGCCTCTCGCTCCCATTGGGCCTTGCGTGCTATGCCGCGTGCTTTCACTGCGTCGCGGCGTCGCGGCCATTAACTTCTGTCATTCCTGGAGGGTAGCAAGGAGAGGTGCTGTGTATTACATGGCGTGCAATCACTGTTATTGTTCCCGTCCATTTCTGGTCAGTCGATCTGTTGTCTACCGATAAATCTATTGTTTACCATGCTCACAGTCAGGATTGGAGTTCGAATTCTTTTGAGTTGGTAGACCCATAGCTCGCTCTCCTTCTCCTCGCTCCCTCTGTTACTTTTATGATTATTGCGCCTTCTTGTTCACCGTGGTCCCTCCTTTAATCTGGCCTCTTGGTTTCATGTACTGTATTCTCACCGGTTCGTCCTTATTCCATGATTGAGCTGTATGAATGATATCGGTCATGTCTTAAGTTACCGCGCATTTCTTGACTGTATAGTAATTTTAATACTATTTTCTTGATTGTATAGTATCATCTTCACGCCTAACTGTAAGCAAATCTCCTCGAGGTTCGTCGGAATTGGACGTAGCAGTAAAATAAGGCAGGAAATTGGATTCATGTTTGCTTGCCCGTGGGCAGCCAGTCTACGACGATCTTGGGTGCGGAGAAGGATGTCGCGTTCATCGGGCGTCTTCACTGTTGTACCACGACTTCCATGGACCTCTTGTACATGCCTCATAATAAAGATACAGCACTACGTTGTAAGGATGCTCATCGTCATGGGCGAAGTCGAAGGTGTGCGTCAGTGACTTTTGATTGTCTTGAATTGACTATGCCGTATCACGGTATCGTGGAAGCGAAGTTGAGCATGTAGGATCTTGGACATCCGAAGGTTACTCTGGAGTATGGGTCACAGTAGTCAGGCTATGAACGGTCCAGGCTGCTCTGAATCACGGTATAGCACAGGTATTTGTGGATTGTACTCGATGTTTGGGCTAACGGTTCGAGATAGGACTATTCAAGGCGACAAACTCATCATGTCGGTCACCACTGAATCCAACATGACACCCATGCATCCCTTTGCTGCGCCTTCCAGTGACCTGCGCAAGCTTAACAGCATTATTTCCGGTATCACAGCACTCGGCAGCGTATTTTAGCCCCAAGCAAACTGTCTCCATCAACTGGAAAAAAGAGGTGGACTAAAAATGAACAGATCAAAGGAAGAGTGTATTGTCGGGATTCAAGATATCTGTTTGATACAATGTACGACCCGTTACGCTTTTTTATGGATTTTCGGATACATGGCGCGTAGCTTGGCTGTCGTGCGTGTAGTACGGACGCAAATACGCCACTGCTCGAGTAGCAGCTGTAGGTGAAAGAACATCGGGTTGCTTGCCCATCGAGTAGAGGAGCCTGTAACTGCATACGGAGGCTCTCGTACCGCTCCTATTTCTCTTGCCTTGTAAAGGGACTCGGACGTTCCTTCTTGCAGGTAATTGCTTCTTATCAATAATGCGATTCCTAGACTATCTCACCAAATTTGCCAGAATCCCGGCCTTTCTGAAAGTCTGGTGTTCTGACGACCGTTTTGCCGGTTTAGATTAGCTGGTGAAGTGTCAGAGTGTGAATCAGAATCACAACGTCTAGTCCTATCGGCATCCAATGTGATACTCATATCCTTCGGTTCGCATTGCTTGCTGCATTTATGCAGAGCTCACTTAAAAGGCTACCTATGCATGTGTGGCCCTCTCAGCTGAAAATGCTTGCCACATTGCTGCGACTGCTCTCGTCCACGTTCGCCAACTGTACTAAGAGGCGTAGCGGCCTCAGCAAGCCTGCAAGCCCCGTCGGCCCTGCCAGCCCCGTTGGCCCTGCCAGCCCTGCCGGCCCCGTCAGCCCTGTCGACCCCTGCAGACCTGCCAGTATCATCATTCCTGTCTCCCCTCCGACCTACGCAGCTGTTCATTACCACCTTCCCAATCACCCTTATCGAGCAAAGCCCCCATCGACTCTGATTGAGGCGCAGCGCTCTAAGGAGGAGAACTTCCAGGGCGACCCTGACACAGTCCTACTCGATGTCGTTGACAGTAGAAACAACCAGCACCTAAGGATCGAGAGTCATGCCAACGTGAGACTTCGCGTTCCACTTCTCCTCCCTACCTGTGACCCTCATAGCGGTAAAAAACACATAGTGATGGTGGAGGTGTTGGGCAGAATTGGTGAGGCAGCCGAGTACGGGATAGGGACGGTGATTTGGAAGTTCACGAAGGTGTGCCAAGGGAACGACCCCGTCATCTTCGTTAGGGCATGCCGAGGTTCGTGTGCCCTAGACGATTCACAGGACATGTCATATCGCGAGAAGCAATCTAGCGGCCGACGTCCCCATTTACTCACAATCGGAGTGCCCGATGGACGACCCGACCCACCCAACCCACCCCGCTACCCCACGCTACCGGAGCTTGCAGAGTTCCCAGCTCCTCCTGACACTGATATGTATTGTCTTGTCTCAACCCCACCCTTCTCGGTTGCTTGCGGGCTAAGCCACTCCGTGATTGTACCCAGCGCATTATTAACGGCTGAGGAACGACGCCGATTCCACATTCATTTCTCCGAATCCACTTAGTTGACGGTACTCAGCAGCGTTCAGCACGTAGCATATCACGGCATGTTTGCATGTCTATATCCTCACTCTTTGCATTTCCACTTCTTGTCTTTGATTTCCTACCGTCATTACTAGGTATTGTTCCAGCCCCTCCCGTCAATCTTTTCGACTGAAGATCTTGGTAGTCATGGACTCTTGTATACAATGATACATCTCCTGAAAACATCTTCGGAGCAGTCTGGTCACCTATCATATCTTATTTACTCCATCTCTCTTTTGAGTTCTGCTGTTTGCGATCTACAATGTATACTAAGTACATGTTTACAATGAACCTTTTGTCGATCCTGGGTCAAGATTGACCATGGCGTTCTCTCAGTTACGCAATTCAGACAAGTCGGACCTCCTCCAGATATGGGCGAATCAAGGTAACCCTTCTATCGTGCTTCCATAACCTTAACGGTCCGCCACGCGAGTTTCCTTTTCGAACTGATTACTGGCTCGCCGGAAGCATCCTCGAAGATGCGAAAATCGCTCGAAGAAGGTCCTAAACCATCAGCTTCGTGATACGTAGCTGTGGTGAATTAGGTTTGTTACGAACAGGTACGTTCCCACCACCCTGTTTCAGTGATAGAGCTTTCGCCAGTAGTGGTTGGTACAAAGAAAGCAGAGTTTTGTTTCGGGTCATCGCATGCTTGGTGAGCAGGCAAATTTCAAGGCAATATCCATGGTTGATTGTTTATGAAGATTGTTGTTTATGACCATTGGCAGGACGTAT